AGTAAATAACCATTTATAAAGGTCACATATCTGTAAACAAAGAATACATTTTCTATTAGGGACTAAATGGTTTTAAGGAAGGTCAGCACAGAAGGCTCAAGGGACTGGGTTGACCACGAATTTTATTTTGTTTAATGTTTAACTAGCTCAATGTTCTGTTCATATTAGAAGTAACTCTTGTTTACTCTCTTGGATTTAGAAGGCTTAAACAATTTTCGTCACAAATGGGTCTGCATATTTGATAATTCTCTGTTCCACTATTTTAACATTTTGGTGAAATAGTAATTTATGGATGTTACCAGCTATATAGTACCTGAATTAGAAAAAAAAAATTTACCTAAAGAGCAAAGAGCTGAGAGACAAAATTAAAGACTGAAACAAATTTTACATCATTTTATTTCAAAATGTTAAAAGCCTTGAATTCTGTGATATGAGGAAAAAATAAACCCACATTTTTACACAATAAAACCAATTTAGAGCTTTGGCAACCAAATTTCTTAAAACACCAGTGTGAAACTTATAAACGGCTCTGATGAATATCTAGCCACAGAGGAAGTAATCTATATCCTAAAGAAAGCCCTCTTGGGTGCCACTTCTTATTCTATATAATCAGGTGCAAGTTTTCTGATTTCTGCTTTTAGAAATAATAGACTATTATGGGATTACTCACAATTCTTTGTTCAGGAGTCCCTAAACAGCTATCTATTTCTAACCAGAAGGCTAAGAATAACCTCAAGTATGCTTTGGCTACAAGGTGATAGATAAGTCATTTCCAATTTTCAGTTGCCATGAGATACAGCTAGCATTATGTCAAAGTCAGTAAGAGAAATCACATTTAATTGAATTTAATATATATTTAATACCGGCAGATATTGATACTAAAAACATTAGCAAAATTTCAGATCTACAGCAAATAGACATTTTAGATAAAAATTATTCTATAAAATTTTACACATGATGGAGAATAACAAAAACCCCTTTTAAATTTGACTAATGAAAAAGCAGAGCTATAAAAATGTGCATTTTCACTGGCCCACATTATTAAACTATGAGTTTACTTACACTTTATATTCAACAATACATGAGGTTTGAGATTTCCATCTTACAACAAGAAAGTATTATATAGCTAGAATGAGAGATCTTTTTCAATCCTTAGGAAACTAACAGAGTCTATATTAGACAGCTGTTTCACTTTTCTAGGTGTCTTGAGCTAAACACTGATAAATGCAAGGATGTCCTCTGAAGAGAAGTGAATGGATGGAAAAGTAAACTTTTGCTCTACTAGCAAAAAGAAAAGAGCTGGAGCTGAAGCTCTAGATGCTCTTTAATCGTTCTCACACCCTCAGCTTTTCTGACATCCATAGATGATCACCAATGGCAGCAAGTCAAGTGTGATTAAATTTAGGGGTGGGGATCACTGTGTACCAATATTCAATTAACGTTTACAATATCTACAATGTCATAAAACAAAAGCCACTGCATGAAATCCTAGAGACGGTTCTTTCTTCAATATGTTACAGGTAATCTCACAACTTCCTGTCTTTTTACACACATATACTCTACCTGACAAGCTGGATCAAGACCCATTTTTCTTCTGAGGAATTTTTCTACATGTCCAATAGTTGCTTCTCCTGAAACTCGGACAAACTTCTTTTCCAATGGCTACAAAAGTAAACAAACAAACCAATTTCAGATTAACTATACATAAAATGTATAAACCTTAAAGCACATTTTATAGCAAAGATAATTCAATAGATTTATGAAAGAAAAATTACTATGAAATTTGAGTTAATTTATCTATCAAACAAGAAAAAAAAGAATTTCTGCTTAGCTTCACCTCTCCAAAAAGTATGTCAACAATTTTTTTTAATAGAAAGGCTTACTGATTTGTTTTACTACCTCATCAAGAACAAAACTTAGAGTAAAATTTATTGACAGCAAATACCGAAGATTCAATGTCTAAAACAACCTGGTTTCTTCAACAAAAAAACTTCAGGGAAAAAGAAAAACCAACCAAGGCTGAGGAGGAACCGCTAGACCAAAAAAGATACAAGGCCTATAAATAAGAGATATATCAACCAATTATAATATATGGATCTTATTTGGATCGTGATTTTTAAAAATCTTTAAAACAATTTTCATAAGACAATCTAGGAAATTTAAATAGCATGTGGATATTTAAGGAATTACTGTAAATTTTAAAAATGATAATATTGGGACTACCCTGGTGGTCCAGTGGGTAAGACTCTGCACTCCCAATGCAGGGGGCCTGGGTTCAATCCCTGGTCGGAGAACTAGATCCCACATGCATTCCGCTACTAAGAGTTTGCATGCTGCAACTAAAGATCCCATGTGGGACTTCCCTGGTGGCACCGTGGATAAGACTCCATGTTCTCAATGCAGGGGGCCCAGGTTCAGTCCCTGGTCAGGGAACTGGATCCCATATGCATGCTGCAATTAAGAGTTCTCACACCACAACTAAGGAGCCCACGTACTGCAACTAAGACCCGGTGCAACCAAATAAATAAATAAATATTAAAAAAAAAAAAAAAGATCCTGCCTGCCACAACGAAGATCCCACATGCTGCAACTAAGACCCAGCGCAGCCAAAGTAAATAATAAATAAATATTTTAAAAGCTGCTTTACACATTCAGATACAAGTTATAAAAATAAATAAATAAATAAAAATTATAGTATCATTATTATGTTTTTATAAAATGTCCTTATCTTTTAGAAACAATTATTTACTGATAAAATGATAGTTCGGGATTTGCTTCAAGATTATATAAGAGAAGTGTTAAAGGTATAGGTGAATTGAGATTGGCCATGATTTTATAATTACTGAAGTTAACTGATGCATACATGGGCATTCATTTTACTATTCTGTCTACCTTTGTATGAGTTTGAAATTTTCTTTGAAAAGTGGAAAATAAAAAGATTAACGGGGCTTCCCTGGTGGTGCAATGATTGAGAGTCCGCCTGTCGATGCAGGGGACACAGGTTCATGCCCCGGCCCAGGAAGATCCCACATGCCGCGGAGCGGCTGGGCCTGTGAGCCATGGCTGCTGAGCCTGCGCATCCAGAGCCTGTGCTCCGCAACGGGAGAGGCTACAGCAGTGAGAAGATTAACATCTAGATGTATATGGCTGGAATCTGATCCAACGGTCTAAGGTGATAGGTAGAGAGACCATAGGCTTTTAAAGTAGAAACTAATGCTTACCTAGCCACTCTCTCTCTGAAGCAATTTTAAGGATACTACTATTAATAAAAATGAAAAGCTGGGGTAATAAGAACTAAAAGGGTACCTTTTAGGAAAACGTGAACGACGTTTTTCTAGCACTAGCAGAGAGGGAGCCCAGAATTGCTACCAAGAGGACCCAGGCAGGTTAGGCACACATTCCTTCCATGTAACAGCACTCAGCTCTCTTATCTGTAATTTGGTTTCTTAAGAACTTTCCTAACAATAGATCTATCCCTTATTACCACAGTGCAGCAGATAGCATGTTAAGTGCAGATATTCCAGAGACTGCCTGGGTTTAAACCCTGGTTCTGCCATTTTCTAGCTGCAAGTCTTTGGACAAGTTGCTAAACGCTTCTGTGTCTCCATTTCCCCATTTGTATTGTTAACACAGAGATACTAATAGCACCTACCTCATAGAATTATCATAAGGAAAGTGTGTTAATATATGTAAATAACTATTAATAATTCCTGGCACATAGTAAGTACTTAGTTATTACTAGTGTATTGATTTATTCTGTTCTTCATGTAAAGGAATCTAATTAGAGGACCTAGTTGTCATCACGGATACTGATATAATCTAGCCAAAAATGGCAAAGGTTCGTGTTCTTTTAATGCAGGTTTAAGAATCATCTTGAAAATCTAAGGCAGTCTTTCTCACTAAGGAGCAGATACAGCAGTGCTCCAGGTGAAGTCTTGATGAAGGTACTGCATTGTAGGTGGCACTGCCTGATTAGCATGAGAATCCCATCATGTGCCTTGAGAAGCTGCTATTCTGGGTAATCTAGCTAGATGCCTGCCTGGCAACCAGTGCATTTCTGAAGGTCAATTTCTGGGGCTTACCATCTCAATAGTAGGCTTCAGGTATACCAACAGAGGACAATTCAATATTCATCATTTCTAGTTCTTGGTGAGCACTTCACCCCCAAGTGTTTATTAAGATTAATCCAACTTAGCTAAAGTTATCAATACTGTACTTTTTAGACCACCCAGAACAGAATTATGAGATCTGCCAGTATCTGAAAGAAAAACATTGGCCTTGGCTTTCAAAGTTGGGTTCTAACGTGGTTAACCTTAGTCTTCATACCCCAGGCTCACAAGTTAACAGAATTTTTTTCCGATATAATTCAGATCCAGCTTTTTTAACAATTTGCTTTTTTTGTTTTTTGCCTTTTTTTTTTCTTAAGCTACAAAGCAGGTTCTCACCTAAATGGTCAACTCATTTTTTATTCCTGC